GACCTCTTTTCAATAGGGACCAAATTAGCATGCAGTGGTGCTGTGTGGCTCATCGGTGGAGAGCTTTTGTTCCCGGTGGTAATCCGCTTGCTCTAAATACCCCAAACCCTGGTATATGTTTTCAAAATAACGCTGGATTATCACCACTTTTGAGAGTGAAAAATGCCGGTCATGCCCAACAGCCTGGTCTTTTGTTCGGAGTACGGTCTTTTGTTACTGGGCCCTGTTTCCTTTGTCCGAGTTCGGAGACCCCGGCCACATATATAAACCATACGGCTCCGATTTCGGAGTCCCCGGCTGGTAGTGGTTAATGTAAACATGTACCACTACATAAATTGTGTTTCTAAAGCTTTCACATGTGGTGCACTCATGTACGTGAGTGTGCTAACTGCTGTAAAATAAAGTTGTCTGCTTCAACCACTTGCTGCTGGGGATTCCGGTTTCGGACATGTATTCTTTGTACGTGTGGCCGGGGTTTCCGAAATCAGAAAAAGGGAACTGGGCCTTCTGCAAAAGACCATACTCGTAACAAAAGACCTGGTTGCTGGGCATTATCAAGATTTTTTTACTCTCAGCAGTGGAGATAATCCAGCCTTGTTTTGAAACAGTATATCACGGTTTAGGGCATTCAGCGCAAGCAGATTACCACCGGGGACAAAAGTGCTCCACCACCACAGCGATGAGCCACACAGCACCGCTGCACGCTAATCTGGCCCCTATTGAAAAAAGGTTGGCAGCGCAAGGCCGAACAAAAGAAAATAACGTAACACCGCACAATCTGGGCTCTTTTTATAAGGCAGCAGGCCTGGCTGAAATACTCCAGTATCAGTAGATGATGTCTGTCAGATTAGAGTAGAAACCAGACAGTCCTTCATGTGAGTGTAGGTGTCCAATAAATGAAGATATGAATTTTTAGAGAATTTTGAAAACAGAAAAAAAAGGAAATTATTCCATCCCAGCATCATCAACATTCATAAATGACCCCGGCACGAAGTGGTCAAGTCCACTGCGTAGTAATTAGAAAATGTGGTAACGTGGCATGGACCACTGTGTAATGCTTTTTTAGATGCAGATTATTAGACGGAGTCATTAAATGGGAAGGCCAGAAAGAACTTTCGGTGCATGCTCCCTGCCCTGCTTTCAAGGCATTCCCCTGCTGACATGGCTGATGGGTACTGGTGTGCTAGAAATTCCTCACTCTGTCCAGGACGTCAGAGATAGAAGTCAAGTCCTCGGGCCCTGATCCGCACAAGCCACTCAGTGGACAACAACCTGCAAGTCTACTTACAAACTCATTCTCTGCAAATTCCGTCACCAAGCTGAACTCTTCATCGGAGGTTTCGTCTTGTGGTGGCATCCTCCAGAATGCCAGCCTTGTACCCATGGACTTTCATATCACAATTTTTCTACAGAAAGTTTGGCGCCTGATTTTTTTTTCCACTTTAAGAAACAAATGTGACTTAATCTTAACAGGATCCTGCATTTTCTGTAAACATCCATTCTGTTGATTTGTATTTCATTTACAGTAACATGTTTGCAATAAAGCAGGTCTCATTGTGCATAGTAAATTAAAGTGTTGCATCTGATTTCCCAAAAGGAGTTGATAAATTAATTGGTTCCTGATAATTGGAAGTGAACCATGGGTTACATGTACATAAAATTTGGGATACAAGGGAAGTGTTGGGTACAGTCAAATATTCTGTAGGCTTCTCAATGCTGGTATAGATACCTGTAAATGTTCAGATTCATTATAGTGATATTCTACTGTACATGTATACTGATCGATATGGTATCAACAATGAAGTAAAGATATACTGTTAATAATGTAAAAAACATATTTTTTCAAGGGGGGGTCAGAGGAACACAGCATTTAAGTCGTTATTTATTAGTTTTGGGGCACCATCTTCAGTTTTAATGCCATTATCCAGACTATTCTAGGTTGGCCTGCTTTCTCCCTATGGCTCTCCTCCACTTGACCCTGTTCATAGCCTTTCATTAATTCCCACAATACAAGAATTGGCAGTTTGGAACTCATGACTTAACAATAAACCAGTGTAGCATCTGAACCCACCTTTGCGTGCGTATTCAGCAGCTCAAATAGAGCCATCACCAAGGCATCTACACAGATGGTTGCATTCTGGTACTCCTTGAGGTAATACATCATTGTTCCTTGTTCATTCTCATTTAGGAGGTGTCTGGCTTGGTCTTCAATCATGCCCCAAGCCTGGCTCCCCGAGCCCAAACTGGAGTTGTACATGACTTGTGTACCTGCAATACCCCTGCTGAAGTTGGATGACTGTCAAATAAGCAGAACATACATTTTAAATTCATGTAAGTCAGCATATTTGGAACCAGTTGTATTAGAGTGCACATTTGTGGCAAGCTCTCAAGAGGCTGCTACAAAGCACCAGGTTACCATCCAACAAAATTTGGAACCAAGAATTTTCAAGATTTGGTAAATGAGGCCACATCTGAGTCAGGGTTATGGTCTTCATGCACACGTGTCCCCCTCCCATCTCCCTCACTAGCAACAATGAGGGAGTCTTTGGAAATCAACAACTCATAATCCTTTTCTGATGTGGGCCCAGTGCTCATGCAAAAAAATGTCTTCTAATCAGTGTTTTTTCATGTGCTTTCATTGTCATCAAAATGTTATACATGTAGATGTCTTTTTAAACACCTTGCATAACTAGTTTAAGTTTGATAGAGTGAGAAAACAGCAGGGTTGTTCTCCACACATGCCATTATGTCACCATCTGAAATCTTTTTTGGGTACGCACATGTAAATGTACATGTGCATCAAACAAGAAATGCCGATGAACAATCTATAAAAGGTATACAACCTTGATTCAAGTGCCCTTTTTATGGAATCATTTTTTTAAATGTTACTTACTGATACACTTCTGTTAAACTTCTCTCCGTTGACATTGCCATTGATGCTGTTTTGTACCAGTTCAGTCCCCCCTCCATTAACCACACTTGACAGTCTGGACACCTGTCTAGGGAGGTCTGACACCCCATCTCCAGTGATCCATTGTGTGCGGTCAATGGTTGTGCGTGCATAGGGAAGTTTGCCAACATCCTTAATGGTCATCATCATCAGTTTGGAAGACTTTAGGATGTTAACAGCCTCCTGGTGATTGATGTCCAGAAAATTCTCTCCATTGACATCTAAGATTTGATCCCCAACCTAAAAATGAACAGAAAGAAACTTCAAAAACTAAATTCATGGTTGACATACACACACATACTCACTCATACAACCACAAAAATTACCTTGTCTTCTTTGTTGGCTAAACGTTTGTTTTCAAGCTCTTGGAGTTTTCATCCAGGATGTGAATTGCTTGTCTGTTTCTTCTTAATTCAGTGCACATACAGGTACATGTACATTGTACTCCAAGTGGAAATTTACAGATTTTGACATTCATGCATATGGGACATGTACCACGTACCTTTTGCCTACTGAGTTGTACAAATACAACCATGTCACGTCAGGAGCCTATACATACCACCACATGTACAGTACTGTATCAGTATGTGTACAATACATGTACATTGTATATGCAGACGGTGAATTATGCAAAGTCTATGGTGTTGAGTGGTGTAAGAATGGTCACCAGTTTTCGTACAAATACTGGTCGGTCCTTTTATGGCAAATTAGCCTAACTCAAAACTACTACTTTTTCAGGTTAAATCACTTTAAAGGTTACTGAGGGCGCTCTTTTCATTTTTCAAAGTTTCAGTCATGTTTTTTTAAAGTAGCCCAACTTATCTCGCCATTTTTGAAAGCCTTTGATTCTTCTCTAAATGGCAAAACATTGTACATGTGTTCAAGTTAAGCTGTGGACATTAAAACCCTCCCGTGCAAAGATGCATTCTTGACACAGTTGCACAGTCAAAATCAGTCAAGTGACATAAATGTACATGTATGATAATGTTTACAGTATGTACTGTGCAGGGAGAAGTAACAAAGGAGGAAGAACTTTTTGACTGTCTGTGACTGTTACAGCAAAAGGAGTTAATGGTTTTCAATGTCAAAATGCGGTATTCAGGCCATTTTGTGTCTGAAAGTTTCTGAAATCTTTTTGGCAAAAGGACTGACGTCACGGTTAAGTTGTTCTGCCAAACAAAACACAAGTGGAAGTCTGAGTTAAGCTTCTTTGCCATGAAAGTGTAACAACAGTAGAAGGCACTATCACCATTCGAACTGCAACCACATGCATGTGATATGTAGCCTACACGTACATGTACATGACAGTGCACAAGGAATGTGCACTACTGTCCTCTACAAAATGGCGACCATGCTGAAGTTGCAGCAACACAAAAGAGGTTTCCAAATGCTTAAGTGAACATCAGAAAAAATCTATTTTGTCACTTTTCTCGGCAGACATATGGTTTGTTGACAATCCCTCAATTTAATAATCAGCTGTTTGTTGCCATGGTGTTGTAAACATGTAGCTTGGAGAGCAGTCGCATGACCACCTGATGAGTCCCTGCTGGCTGGCAGAAGACCAAGGAAGGTCAAGCTATAGCGTTAAATTTACAATCAACACGCAAGAAAGATGTTATACATTGTTATAATTCAGCGATGCGTGTTGCATTGCTGGTGGGTAAAGGCCACTTCGGCATAGCCTTCAGATGCCGCTGCTTGCTGAAATAAACCCACTACCTCCCCTTCACCACAAGACCATAGTAGAACATAAACTTTTATCAGGAATTGCCTGGGAGCAACAGGCAGTGCCTCAATTCAAGCTAAAATGGTAAACAACTTTAATTTTGAAATATGTCTTATGGTAAACTATGTCTTATGTTAAACTTTGACTTCGTAGGTTAATTTTTAATCTGCTGTGTTTAATCTTAGGACGGGTACACCAAGCACCCTCTTGTTCTGGTGGGGCTTATTCAACCGCACGTGCCAGCAGTGAAAAAACAGCGTGCTTTCAAAATTGTAATCTGTTGTGTTAATCTTACGCCAGGAACCCTCTTGTTCTGGTGGGGCTGATTGGTTATATTAATAATTTAGGTATATGACATACAACCGAGCACAAACACTTTGGCTAGCACCCTCTTGTTCCAGTGGGGTTAGTTCAAAGGATGGCAAGCATGACAAGGATTTGGGCCCATAGGAGCCAAGCTTGGCAAGGATTGGGCAATCATGCCCAGTATTTCAGGCAAGCACGCCCTGTGCTCTTGATTAAGGCAGACGTGCCCATTTTGGCAAGCTGCCAAAGTTCTGGTATAAACATAATGAATACAAAGGAAATAAAACAGCGGCTAGGAAATCTATGCCCAAGAGTCAGATCTACATTTCCATTGCAAGATTGTTTTGTGTGTTGTCCGAGAATAAATGCAGATTAGTCTTGTAAATGTTATCTATATTTTGATTTTTTTTATGTACATGTTCATGTACATCAAGAGGAAAAGAATCTATGAACAGCAGCAACAAATCTAGACCATGTGTAGGCCTATGCTTGAAACTGATTTTATGCCTATGTCCCTGGCCTAACCACGCCTAATGTTAGCCTACTGTGCGTAGTCCTATGTCATTTTCTGGGAGAATGTGCACAGCCATGGATAATTTTTATTGGTGGGTCTGACTTCACTGATAAAATACATGTAATTATGAGTGGAAGGTTATTTTTTATTTAATTTGGTTAGTTGATCAGAGGTTACTTTTAAATTCAGTGAAGTCTACATGTGCTTTCCAAAAGTGGAGAGGGATGGGAGGGAGCCGACTGTTTGGGGTAGATATTCAATAGCAGACCTCACCCACATTTCTGTGGGGGAGGAGTCTTCTGCTTTCAACCTACCCCAAACAGTCGCTAAATATGCAGAGTAGCAGCAAGCCCTTGGAGGGGGGTGTGGCGAGGACGCACTACATAATGAGAATGCCAGAGGAACAAAAAATTGTCCAAATTTATTGCGGACTCACCACATAATGGAGTTGTTATGTGGTTCCAGTGGTGAGCCGCTTTGATGAGGAACTCTTCTGCATCGATGTAGCCGATGTTAGGACCACTCTGCCATGTGCGGAGTCCTTTTGTGGAACATCGGTGAGGTAGCATGTGGTGCAGGTAGATGGGGTCTTCAAGCATGCTGTCTTGCATAATTCCTACATTGGTACGCCCCTGAAGTAGGCCCATGATGTGGAAACTGCTCAGATATCTTGAGCCTTGATGAGGCGTAGTGTTTTATTGTCCACAGATTCCGCCCAATCTGGGTTAGCAGACTTCATGGCTGAAACTACCCATCTGGCTATAGTGTCTCTGGTCGCAGCTCGGTGAGGTTTTTTGTGGTCATGAAAAGCTGCGAAGTTGGACCTCTGAGTTTTTTGGTTTTGGCTAAGTACCATTTAAGATTCCGCACTGCACACCATGGTTTGTCATCTGGAGTCCCAGTGTGTTTGGTAATGTCTGACACAAAAATGTCAGGAGGATGGAAGGATGCTGATTGGTTCCTGGTGAGAAACCCAAGTGTTGGGATGAGACGAACACCATGGGGTTCCCATCGGATGTGGCCATTTGTGATGGACAATGCCTTCAGTTCACTGCCGCGCTGTGAGGTAGTAACTGCCAGCAGGAATGCCAGTTTCACCGATAAGTTGATCAACGATGCGTAGCTGAGAGGCTCAAAGGGAGGACCAGCAAGCAGTTGGAGGACAGCTGACAAGTCCCATGAAGGAATTAGTCTCTTAGTTGGGGGATGCTCAAGAAACATCCCCTGGAGTAGATGTTTAAGAGCAGTATTGTCGGACATAGTTGAACCATCTGGAAAGCCATCGTGTATAGCCGTAATGGCTGACTGGTAGTTACGGACAGTTGAAACCTGGAGATCTGATTTGAACAGATGCATGAAGAAGTCAGCTATAGAGGTCACAGAAACTTCGGTCTGAGACAAACCTCGCTCTGAACACCATGAAGTAAAATGTCGTAATCTGGAGTGATAGATGTCGCGTGTAGACTGGAGTCGACTCTTCGAGGCAATTTCGGCGGCTTCACCAAAAAATCCTGCTGATCTGAAGGATTGTTTGACAATAGCCAACAGGTCAGGTGTAGTGACGTCGGATGAGAGTGAAGCATGCCCAACTTCAGCTGATGTAGCAGATCCGGTCTGTCAGGAAGGATCACCGGTACCCGGACAAGAAGTCTTGTCAAACGAGGGAACCATGGCTGGCGTGGCCAAAAGGGGGTGATGAGAAGGACATGGCAGCAATCCCTTTCCATCTTGGAGAGAACTGCTGGTATTAGGGATATTGGAGAGAAAGCGTAGGCCAACATCCCTTCCCAATTGATTTGAAGAGCCTTCGTTACCCAGGCTTGCGGGTGGTAAGACCTGGTGCAGAACACTGGCAGTTGGGCGTTCTCCGCCGAGGCGAAAAAGATCGATGTTCGGTTTTTCTACTTCGGTGAAGATCTGTTTGACTACACTGGTGTGCTATGTCCACTCTGTGGGACGTACCTTTCCCCGAGAGAGAGCATCTGCTATGGAGTTGTCGACACCAGGAATATGAGTCCCCTGGAGGTGGATGCCATAATCCTGGCCCAAAGGAATATCTGTCTCATCAGGAGGCAAGGCGGGGAGAATGTGTGCCTCCCTGGCGATTGATGTATAACACCACTGTGGAGTTGTCCAACCGGATGAGGACTCGTTTGCCTATGATGCTTGGGCGGAAAGCCTTCAGTGCATTGAATACGGCCTGAAGTTTCAGTATATTGATGTGACTCCCTTGGAGCTGGAGGTCCCATGTTCCCGATGCTTGAAGTGGCAGTAGAGAGGCTCCCCAGCCCAGATGAGAAGCGTCCGATGTTATGGTTATTTCCAGGTTCACCTTGGGGAAGGGAACTCCAAGAGAGAGGTGCTCTTTCACTAACCACCACCGAAGATTAGGGCGGATAAAGTCTGATAAGGGTACCTGGAAATTGATTGAGCCCCATTTGGGCTTGTAGAGTGCTAAGAGATGTAGTTGTAGCGGGCGCATGTACAGCCTGCCGAGGGGAATGAAATCCACCATGCTGGCCATCAAGCCCAGGAGACGGAGCCAGGCACGGGCCGGAGCAGACTGCTCAGTAGAAAAGACTTTCATGCAGTTGAGAAGATTGTTGATGCATTCATCGTTGGGGTGAGATTTGACTTCTCGTGGTTGATGATGAAGCCCAGCCAATTTGTGACGTCGCAAGTAAGGCGGGTAGA